TACTACAGACAATCAAGGCTTGGAATCAGCTAAGGAGAAAAGGAGACAACAGAGAGCCTGGGCATCTACAGTAGACAAGCAGTCACTGAGCATCCTGCTATTCAAGCTGTCCATGAGCCAGCAACATCTGTATCACCTGGGAGCTTGTTAGTACTCTGAATCCCATACCTTCTGAATCAGAATCTGCATTTTTAAAGGTCCCCAAGTAATCTGTGTGCTTACTAAAGTTTGAGAAGTACTGATAGAAAGGTTACTAGCTGATTTCTTGAGGTTCTCAGTGCAACCAAGCTGCAATCTTCAGTGAGCATTAAAACCAGGTGGACTTTCATCATTTAAAATTGTTTTAACAGATGGAGATAAAAAGGGAAAGACATTTCGCATGTCTTTAAAAAAGATAGGATCTATATAGGAAAATCAAGTTTTCCTTACAGATGCTATTAGTAAGAAACATCTCACAATATTTCCTCCTTAGCAAGTCTGGCATTCTCTTCCCCACTGTTCCCATGAGTCCTGTGTTTTCCTAAGGCTCTGTTTCCTAACAATACTCTTTTATCTTATAGTTCTAGAAAGAGGTCAAAAGAAAAATAGGGGCCTTAGAAAGGAAAAGCTGAAGGTTATTAATCCATTTTATTTTTCATCCTGAGTAAGCACTTTCAGATCTTCAACTGAATACTAACATCTGAGGAGTTTGTTAGAAGCACCCAGGAAGCACCCTTTGCTAGGGGTGAAAGAAAAGTACAAAGAACTGCCCCCCAAAACAGCCTGGACCAACAATACTGGAAGCTACTTTTGAATAAACCTAATCATCTATACCCCAAACTTTTTGTTATTCATACCCAGGAGGATAGAAAGAACTTTTTTTTTTTTTGGATAAAGAACTCTTATTAGGAAACCCAAATTCATTTTCTCCACTTTCTCTGGTAACAATACAGCACTATAGTCAAGTGTCCACAAAACAAGCATTAAGTAAAAACATATTTCTCCCCAAATCTTATACAATCAGTATCTAATAAAAGGTCAACTATATCTATTCAATTACAGACTCCCCAAAATTAACTCCTACCTAATTCAACAATAACTTATACCTGCACCATCTTCTTGCTCACTACAAATTAACCAAATATACCTAGACATAAGGTAGAAATTATATCATTCAAAATATATACCAAATGCTCCTCTTTTCAAGGTTTGACTATGCTAGACCATAAATTCGAACTTATGTGTCACCTAAAGGAAAAAAAGAAAGCTTATATGGCAAAATATTAGACCCTACATCAACTCTGACAAACTCTCCAACATGCAATTAGAAAGTTTCACAATAACCCAACCACCCCATAATTCTTAACTCTCAGCTGCGTTTCATAGACTTTTATTTTAAAGGTTACCCATTTCTCAATTCCCAAACATACTGCAATAAATTTTCTCTTCATATAATGTGAGTATAAATAAGGAAAAAAGAATGAACAGTCAGACAATCTCAGTTTGTCCTTCTGGTAATATTGTAAGAATTTTTAAAATTAACTAGAAAATATGTCAAGCACACAAAAAGGCATAAAAATATACCCACAACCTAGTTTAAGACATAAAACATTTCCAAAATAGTTATAGCCCCTGGGGTACTACCATCAACTGCATTCCACTTCCTTCAACATAAAAATATCCACTCCCTGGAATTTAGCATTTATTATTACTTTTTTGGTAACTTTTACCACAAATGTACATATCCCTAAACCAATGTGTTTCAACCACATCCTTTAACCAAAGAGTACTGGGGGCAATTTTACTCTCCAAGGGATACTTGGTAATGTCTAGAAATATTCTGGATTATCATGACTATGACCAGTGGGTAGAGGCCAAGGATGCTGGCCTATAATGCATCAGACAGCCCCCTATAAAACAAAGAATTATCTAATCAGTCCAAAACAGCAATTGTGCCAAATCCGAGCAATCCTGCCCTAAACAATGAATGGTATTGTTTTGCACTTTAACACAGTAGGTGTTCTTTTCCAAGAAACTATTTTCTTGCTTTATTTGTTTAACATTGATTTTCTCTTCTGTACAGAACTCCACTGTATAAATTCAGTTTGTTTTTCATTCTCCTGTTGATGCACCTTTAAGTTTTTTCTAATTTTTTGCTTTTATATACAACACTGCTGCAAACATTCCTATTCAAGCCTCTTGATGCGCAATGAGAGATTCTACCTAGGGCAGTAATTTTCAAAGTGTGATTCTTAAACCCCTAGGGTAGTCTCCAAGACCCTTTCAGGGGCTTCATGAGGTCAAAAGTGTTTTTATAACAATACGAAAATTACATTTGTGTTTATGTTGGCACTGCACTGATGGTGCAAAGGAATGGTAGGTTAAAATGCTGGTGATTTAGCCAAGTTAACACCCTCATTAATGAGACATATGAGTAGCCTCTACCTCCTAATATGATGCACTTCTTAGTGCAAAACATCACATCTGTGGTATTCTTGCCCAAAATGCATAATCTGAATTTAATCACGACAAAACATTAGACAGTTGAGGGATAGCCTATAAAATTACTAGACAGTGTCAAGGTCATGAAAGACAAAGACTGAGGACTCAGCCCAGAATGGAAGAGACTGAATGACAACTAAATGCAATGTGTGCTCCTAGATGGGATCCTGGATCAGAAAAAGGAAATTAGAGGGACAACTGGTGAAATTTGAATAAGGTCTGTAGATCAGTTAACTGCATCGTATTAAAAAAAAAGAATATTGTATTAATGTCATTTTTCTGGTTTCAATAATTGTACTTTGTAAGATGTTAACATTTGAAGAAAATGGCTGAAAGGCCAAAGGGAACTCTTTTTACCAGTTCTGTAAATTTTTGTAAGCCTGAAATTATTTCATAATGAAAAGTTCAATTTTATTCTTAATTATTATGTAAACAAATATCGAGTACTATATATCATAAATATAATATTTAGTAAATCTCGAGAATGTAATAAAATGCCAGGAGACATCAATTATTAAATACTGTTTTTAAAAAAGAAAACAAAAACACTGAAAGTAGTATTATAGTCCTGGGGCAAAACCAGAGCCAAGAGCTTATGATCTGTTCCCACATTTCATAAGAAGGCTAGCTACCCTGCATCTAAACGTGCTTTTAAAATCATTGCTAAAAGAATCAGATGACCAAGATGAATTGCTACACGCAACAAATTAATGTATAAAATCATTTTGTAAATTAACTAAGATTTTAAAACAGTTACCTCTGAAAAACACCTGCTTTATATAAGATAATGAAACTATTTATATGACAGATATACTCCATACTACAAAACGTAGGCAACATTAATATCCATTAAAAAGTTGCTGTAATACAGGCCTTGTTACACCTTACCTTTACCCTGGAAAGATATTTAATTTCTCCATAAACCTAGAATTACTGATCCCAAGATGTCTCTGAATTACTGGGTTGTGGTCAAACTTAGCTTGAGCTAGCATGATAATATTTTAAGAGTATACAGGAACAGGTATATGCCCCATACAGTGTTGTGAGGGGTGTAAACTGGTAAAATGTCTTAGGAGAGGCTACTAGTCAACATCTATCAAAATGTTAGGTATGTGTACCCTTTTATGCAATTCCACTTCAAAGGTACTCAACGCATATACGCAAGGACACAGGTACAAGGATTTACTCACTGCAACACTGTAAATAAGACCTGAAACAATATAAATGTCCATAAAAAAAGCAATACTGTATCCGGTCACTGGAATACTATACAGCTATGAAAGAATAAGGTACTAACATGGAACAATCACCATTATGTATTATTAAGAAGCAAAAGTGCAAGAAGAAAATATAGTTTATTACCAGTGGTGCTTTAAAAGGGTGGCAGATTTATAGAATGTTAACATATATGCTTGCAATGAATAGAGTATTGTGTAAGAACACACAAGAAACTGCTAACAATGGCCATCCCACTTCGTACTGTTGAATCTTTTGGTCTTTTTCAATGTTTAAAATGCAAGTAAGAAACACAATTTTATGAATTACCTATTTAAAATCTGAGTTGGCTTGTATTCATTTCCCTTTCATTGCTAACAATAACTACGTGCCCATTTTAGGATTTGTTAGGCTTTGTCAAACTATTTTCTACTGAATAGATTACTAAGGATAAATCTATGTGAAAGTAAATTTGATTAAAATAAATTATATCTTTATTTTGTGAGCGTGGGCCTTCATTTCATATTATATAAGAATTCTAGAGTCGATAACAGATTCCTGAAATTTTGTTAAACAGAGCACTGACTCATTGCTGTGTTAACGTCTCTGATTTAGCCTTACATATGAGATGTTAACAAAATATATATCAGGTATCCCCTATGCCTATCTTCCACTTGGCAAAAGTATCATACACAAAGAATAGAATCAACAGCTTAGGCTGTTTTCGCTCTATTGGTAAACAATTTAGATGAAAAACCATTCCACTGGGTCCCTAGTAGCATCAGCTACTGAATTCCAAGTCTTTATATGTAGGGCAAGGGGAACACAGATATCTCAACAAATCTGAGGTACGAGGGCCCCTCGGCAACTGTAACTAGTCAACTAAAAACACCACATGGCAAGGCGAGCCTCCCTTCAGTCAGTTACCACTTGGTGGCTGATTAATTTCAATGGCTTATTAGACCGGTATCTCCATACCCCTTTCTTAGAGGAAGAGGAGGAGGGGAATTGTCTGTTGTCTTCCCAGGACTTTGTGCCTTCCAGGCTTGAAAGCATCCTGGTGATGGTGCTGCCATCATTTCCCTTGGGGATTGGGAGGAAGAGGTGGGTCTTTTCCGCAAGTTTTTGTTTACCAGATCTTGAACATATAATTCCCTTTGGTTCTTGCCCTTTCCGCTCACTCTAGCCCGGTGCTGCAAGAGAGGCGTCCCACCGAGGGCTTCTCCCAAGCGGCCCGACGCCCACCCCAGCCTCGCCTCTGACCCCCTTCGCGCGCAGGCCCCGGGCCGGTGGCCGCGGCTTACCCGTGGGCGCGCTGTCCAGGATGCGCAGGTCGTAGGCCCCGGAGCAGCGGTAGTTAGCGGCGGTGCCGTTGTCCCACACCACCACCACCTCCTCGGGGCTCTCGAAGCTCCGGACCGTGCCCACATGGCCCTCGCCGCCGTCCTGCTTCCCCCACTTCCAGTCCGGGCCGCGCACTACCCGGGCGCCGACCCCTTCCACCATCACCCGGTTATTCCGGGAGTTACTCATCGGGGCCCGAGCGGTGGGCTCCGCCGCCGCCGCCGCCGCCGCC